AGACGTATACAATCGAATGTGCACAACTGATAATCCGTTACAAGACCTTAGCAACCGAGTTGCTACAGCTCATCCCGTACTTTTTCGATGTATCTGTACGCATTGTGGCGAACTCTTGACCTAGTGTACGCATATTTCGAGATTTAAGTAGATACGATGCAAATGAATCCGTCGAATCCGGCTCTGGGAGGTGGGTTGGTTGGACCCGGATCCGTGCGACCGAGATCCAGATTCTTACAAACAAACAGGTCCAAATTTGGCGAATCCGGATTCGGGGCTCATGGATTTGTACAATCGAACGTTCCCGGCTTAGTTCTGGAATGACTGTATAATAATCATACACACACGCACGCACGCACGCACGCACGCACACACACACACACACACCTCAGACCTCAGACATGCCCATCGCGGAAGCGATGATAGCGAACAGCTATGTTAGACATAGCAACTTGTGCTGGGATTACAGCATTCAACAGCTTGCAAGGCTGATGAATTGACCGCCACTATTTTCTAGCCTGGTATCCACCACACAGCTGATTGAAGTGGCTTAAAAAGCCACACACACACACACATACACACAAGCAGCGGTGGTGAGTTTTAACTCACCGCCTGCAGGCAAAGCCTCTTGACTGCACAATGATGTCCATGAAGATAGACCTTATACACCGTCCCAAATCCGCCTTGTCCCAGGACAAACTCAGAATTCTTCGAGTCAAAACCTTTGGTCAGTTTATAGAGATCAGCATAAGGCCAACTTGTCATTTGCTGTGCACCAATAGGTGACGGCTCTGCAGTTGACAGCAACAATTCAGCATACAAACACAGTCAATTCAGTGGCAGTCCACCATGCATACCTATGCCGGTACATCAAAGTACACCATGTTACAAACACATGCTTGGTATGTCTAACCTAGTATGAGGTAAAACCGTTAGTGGCTCAGCACTTCCATATCTACTACTAGCCACAGACACATGATCCTGGATACTTTTGCCAGTGACACTCCATACATAGGATTAAGAAAATGGCGGAGGCATCTGAGTCCAAATGCTAGGGCATGACCACCAAGCAACCTACTGTGTAACCTAGGCTTGCAACCATACTTCTAAAACTGTACTCAAGTAGAGCGGCTTTTTCCATTGTACGACTTCCTCCAGAAATCAAAACTCCGTGACTTTTTTCAAAATCACATTCCAAGGAGTTACGCTCAAGAATCTTGGTTCAGTGGAGCAAAAACACTTCAAAACAGTGATCACCGCTACTCACTGTATGTACCCATGAAAAACCTCCGTAAAGGAGAAGTCAACAGTTCTATTCTGAAGGAGAATGGAAAAGAGCGAATGCCGACTATGCCATGATCTAAAACACCTACCTCTCTCCCGTTCATCCGGAACTGTACTGAAGCGATTCCTGTCTGGCGCGGTAGGTTGAGGTGGTTCACTTGGCTTTGGATCATGACCGGGTAGCTTAGTTGGTGTTAGATCACGACAAGGCGGTGTACTTGGTGCTGGATCGTCACCCGGCGGCATACCTGCATTTACTGAATTCATCATAGGGTGAGGTATGGGCGGAAATACTAACTTGTCCAAGTCAGGAATCTTTCCTTGAGAGGACGTCACAGTTTGATGACTTGAACCAGTGGCATGCCAAGCGCTTTCCGTAGCGTGTACACTACTGGCATTCACCCTGGGAGCAGTATATGTAACACTAGACATAGCCATACCATGTGCTGGTTGGCCGTTTGAACTTCCTACCATCGACTGATGGCGGGTGACATCAGCACTGTGCTGGTTTTCTGCCACAGAATACGATGCTGCTGCTCCTGTCGCTACATGAGGTTGGTGCGCTATCGATCCAGTCGCAGGCAGAGGGGGCATTATCAGTGTGTCGCTCTTCACACTGCCTGCATACGTAGCTGCTGGTCTTGCTTTCTGCCACAGTCTTTCCTTTCGTTGGTTTGTTAGATCCCGAAGCGATTGCATAGATCCGTTCTCTGCTGGACTACAGCTACCGCGTAGATCAACTCGTGTTGGACCCATCTCAAGTCCATGCTGATCCTCGGCAGAAGATACTTCAGATTCATACGGATGCTCTGGATACTCGGAAAGGCTGGCACTAGCCTGTTCTGTAAGATAGACGTCCGTATCACTAGCACTGCAACCATCTTGCTCTGCCATCCCACTATACCCATCACCGGTCTCTGGGTGTGGGGAGGTAACCGCGCCGGGCCAAGAACCAGTGCAGCCGCTTGACCCATTACCCTCAGCAGCAGGGTGTTCTTCCACTTGTTTGCGAGGACCACTGGCCGTGATCTTGGCCTGCTGTGTTTGTCCAATGTTCTGGGCAGTCTGGGCAGTCTGTGCAAACTGCTCACGATGAACGTGCCGGTCCAGCTTAGGGTGCCTATGTCCTGAGCCTTGCCCTGGTTCAAAGCAAACATCACCAATCAAGCGTTTCCAACAGTTAATGATGTGTGGGCCTGTCACAGTGTGGAGTGACATCTTCGCATTACTAGACTAGTATCTTGCTGCACATAAATACGCGGTTCAGCAAGGCAACAACATACTCGGAAAGCAATCATTGATACGGTATTTCTCCGATTATAGGTCGCACTCGATTGTAAGTCGCACCCGGCCCCATTTCCAGGTCCATTTCCAGGTCCATGTCATTATCGTTTTCACTTCAGTAGTAAGTCATGCTCGATTATAAGTCGCACCTCCTTTGTTGGCCCTGGAGTTAAGTGTGAAAAGGTGAGACTTACATTCGGGGAATTACGGTACTCTTTCAGTCCCTCAGAGTTTTTCAGTCCCTGAGAGTTTTTCAGTCCCTCGAAGCTTTTCAGTCCCTCACAGTTTTTCAGTCCCTCAGAGTTTTCAGTCCCTCAGAGTTTTTCAGTCCCTCAGAGTTTTTCAGTCCCTCAGAGTTTTCCAGTCCCTCAGAGTTTTCCAGTCCCTCAGAGTTTTTCAGTCCCTCAGAGCTTTTCAGTCCCTCAGAGCTTTTCAGTCCCTCAGAGTTTTTCAGTCCCTCAGAGTTTTTCAGCCCCTCAGAGCTTTTCAGTCCCTCAGAGCTTTTCAGTCCCTCAGAGTTTTTCAGTCCCTCGGAGTTTTTCAGTCCCTCAGAGTTTTCCAGTCCCTCAGAGCTTTTCAGTCCCTCAGAGCTCTTCAGTCCTTCAGAGTTTTTCAGTCCCTCAGAGCTTTTCAGTCCCTCAGAGCTTTTCAGTCCCTCAGAGTTTTTCAGTCCTTCAGAGTTTTTCAGTCCCTCAGAGCTTTTCAGTCCCTCAGAGTTTTTCAGTCCCTCAGAGTTTTTCAGTCCCTCAGAATTTTTCAGTCCCTCAGAGTTTCTCAGTCCCTCAGAGTTTTTCAGTCCCTCAGAGTTTTTCAGTCCCTCAGAGTTTTTCAGTCCCTCAGAGTTTTTCAGTCCCTCAGAGTTATGAAAAACTCTTATAGTTGCCCTTCTTTGTTCTCCATAGGCTTCGAAATCTGCATCATTCGTAATTTGTACTATGATAATATTATGATTGTACAGTCCAAAGTAACACAGTAAACACGTGGATATTGGTATAACATGTACCCACATACGCACATGATGAAAGACAGACAAAATGGAATGAACAAAAGCAAGAAATGCAATAAGGAACATGGCAGAAGTGTGTGCACTTACTGCGAGGTTGTGGAGGTAACCTATGTCGGAAATGTTCTGGAATCAATTGATGCAAGGTCGCAGATACTGTGCAAACCATGACAAAAACGAGCGACCGAAAGAACGAGAGATCAATTCAAGCCAATCACAGAGATAGTTCAATGTGCAACATAACCCAACATGCGAAAACAGGATTGTGCTGGTCAGATGATCTTGCATGTCATAGGTACGGTTTCATTTTCCGACACTAGGGGCTATGTTCACACAAAGTGACATGCTGTTAAAGCACATGTGTATGCATTTTGTACTAGTATTGTGGACGAGCCGGTTTTACTCAAAGTAAGGAATCAGTCCCTGGAGGCCATACGCCAAATACAGGGAGCCTTGAGACCTTTCAAGTGCAATAGAATCTGCTAAATAGACCAGCTGTTACTTGACAGAGAATGATCCCCCCCCCCCCCCCCCCCCCAGCAAGATTCGAGCCACTCAAGGCACATTTCACATAATTTTTTGCAAATGTGGAATACACAAGTGTGATCAAAAATATTTATAATGCATAACCAAGTCGTTTTAAGCCCAAATGAGTTCAACCTACTTGAAGTAGTTGGGCATTGTAAAAAAAAAGAAGAAAAAAAGGCATGTACTAGTGCTCTGAAACACCTATTACAGACTCTGGCCCTTCTTGTGGGGTGGAGATATCCTTAGCTGATCTTCCACTACAGTACAGGCTACTTAGCGTCCGAAGCAAACACGGTAAGGGTAAATCTGCAAATGTGCGTCAAGAAAAGATCAGCACTGCTCCCAGCCCTGACACCTATCCGTCTAGCTACATGTGTGTGTTTTTGTGGCCATGCTTGTGGCAACACAGTGATGTTAGTACGACTTTGAACTGACCGAATAGAATGACCGCCACGGCTAGTTTGGGATACTGACCGAATAGAATGACCGCCACGGCTAGTTTGGGATACTGACCGAATAGAATGACCGCCACGGCTAGTTTTGGGATACTGACCGAATAGAATGACCGCCACGGCTAGTTTGGGATACTGACCGAATAGAATGACCGCCACGGCTAGTTTGGGATACTGACGACTGAGCATGTACCCTACACTTCTACTCCGATGTGTTGCAATTGGATCATGGTCAGACGCTTGGTGCATGGTCAAACTAAACGTTTCTTTGTTCTCCTTCACTGGGGCTACGTTCCGCTAATCTAACCTACATGATTTGCTACACCATGAAAAGTGGCAAGAAAGCTAGCAATGCAAAAAAGAGAACAATGTGCCCGCTCATAACACGAAGAAGGAACAGAGCAACCAAAGTCACCTTTCCAATGCTGAGTAGCAAACCCTTTTTTAAATTCTATTTTATTTTTAAAGATGCCCCCCCCCCCCCCCGTACACCCATAAAAATAATGTTCTTACACACACGCACCATATTCCGCCAATATGAGCATTCCTTCGCCTTGCTCTATCTGGCCAAGTATAATGAACAACTGGCTGACCGGTGCAGTTGGGTTCAATTTCTCATATTCTTTCAGCAAGGAGATGGTTGGACTGGAGCCACTCATCATGCCAAGCTCCATCCTCCGAACTGTAGCATCAGCCAGGTACAGCTTGCTGGATAACGCTCTCCAGTCGTTCTTAGCGTGTCGATCCAAACAGCGTGCTAGGCTGCCCCTGACGGAGTATGGCAAGTCTCGCAGCTTGACATCCACAGATATAGAACTAGGCATCATGATCTTCTTTTACTCAAGAAAGACACTTTCAATTAGAATCTCAGTTTCAGGCTAGTCAAAGCTTGCTGAGCGACGCACGACACCAGGTAACAAACTGAGAGACTTCTGCGTCATTCGTATACTCTCCTTTGCAAAAACACAACGTGTAATCGCTGCCATTCGCTGGTGCTTGCAAGAAACCAAGCCAGTGAACGTGACTTCTTTCCACAATGAACTAGCGTGTCACCAAGAGTGCATGGGAGCTGTGGACGATTGGCATTACTTCTAGACAATTATTTCGTATTTACGCGCTCTGCAGCTAGCAGCACGACAGGGCCAGGGCTCTCCCGGTGTGGGCAAAACTTTCAGCTATCCTTCAAAATGTCCCCGTTACATCACAGAAAAATTCAAGCAGAGCTAGAGAACGACTATCAACCAGATTCTAGTATTAGTAACAGGATAGAATGAGTTGAGGAAAGCAGCATGTCAGTTCTCTTCACGACGAAAACACCCAAAACATGGCAAATGAGTACACTGTGAGTGTGACTGTGACATTATTTCCTGTACTGACTGTAGCCTAATATACTAGTAATAGGCAGTGTAGATCACACAGTACCGAACAAATCCCGTTTGCAGAGTTTGGGGTCATGAACAATGAATGCATCATCGACGTTCTGTGGGCTACAATACAAGCCATCTCTCCGGGGTCAGGGAGGGGATTGACAAGCTACCAGTATCTAGCTCGCTGAGTAACAGCAGTCATGTGTGTACAGTATGATGTGCGTTCAATCATGATTCATGTAGTCATCCACAGTCATTATTATTGTACTGACATGATGGACTGATGTAGTGATCATGATTGTAGTGTGGTTGGGAAGAAAGACAGGCTAGTTTCAGTCAGATTGTACTCTCAGCTCAACAAGGGAGTTCATGAAACGAACACGACCCCACAACACACTCAATTCAGCCTTAACAGTCATTATTATTGTACTGACATGATGGGACTGATGTAGTGATCATGATTGTAGTGTGGTTGGGAAGAAAGACAGGCTAGTTTCAGTCAGATTGTACTCTCAGCTCAACAAGGGAGTTCATGAAACGAACACGACCCCACAACACACTCAATTCAGCCTTAACAGTCATTATTATTGTACTGACATGATGGGACTGATGTAGTGATCATGATTGTAGTGTGGTTGGGAAGAAAGACAGGCTAGTTTCAGTCAGATTGTACTCTCAGCTCAACAAGGGAGTTCATGAAACGAACACGACCCCACAACACACTCAATTCAGCCTTAATTCAGCAAAATTTTCGAAAGCAAGTAACGTTAGTTATCCACGAGTATACATGTACTTTCAAGCTCTCTTTCTCTCTCTCTCTCTCTCTCTCTCTCTCTCTCTCTCTCTCTCTCTCTCTTCTCTCTCCGCGCGCGCTTCTCTCTCTCTCTCGCTCGCTTCTCTCTCTCTTCTCTCTCTCTCTCTCTCTCTCTCTCTCGCTCTCTCTCTCTCTCTCTCTCTTCTCGCTCTCTCTCTCTCTCTCTCTCTCTCTCTCTCTCTCTCTCTCTCCTCTCTCTCTCTCTCTCTCTCTCTCTCTCTCTCTCTCTCTCTCTCTTTCTCTCTCTCTCTCTCTTTCTCTCTCTCTTCTCTCTCTCTCTCTCCTCTCTCTCTCTCTCTCTCTCTCTCTCTCTCTCTCTCTCTCTCTCTCTCTCTCTCTCTCTCTCTCTCTCTCTCTCTCTCTCTCTCTCTCTCTCTCTCTCTCTCTCTCTCTCTCTCTCTCTCTCTCTCTCTCTCTCTCTCTCTCTCTTTCTCCTCTCTCTTCAGTTAGTCATGATTGTACTATTACACATAACACCCGCCGGCATATCAGTCCTGTGCAGAATAACAAGGTGCATCTACTATAAATTAAGCTGTCCCCGAGCAAATAGCTGTTGTGTATATTGGACAAATGAGGAAACAGATTATTGAAGAGTTTAAAATGGGTGATCAAATTGCAGTTTCATTTTTGAAGCCGGTTCTACAATCATGTCTTACAGCGGCGTTGTAAAGTTGCAGCTACATCCTGATCAGCGGTGCAATGTGCATAGCCACTCAATATACTACACAACTGAATCGGCCTGACTATCAAAACTATCAATGATAACGCACTGTATCAAATTGGGAGTGCGGTGGCATTTGCTGCTGCACCTGTTGATTGTAGATGTCATACGGACTACCTTGACTCTCACTGACTGGCTGAGCAATGAGATGCTGCTCTGCTCCTTGTGGTATCTGAGATTGCTGGTGCTGTTGGTGCTGCTGATGCTGCTGGTGCTGGTGCTGTTGCGGCCGTGGTTGTGCCCGTGGCTGCAGTTTGCCTGTGGTTGTGGTGGCAGTTGTGATCTTGGCTGCATCATAGGCAGCCGCGGAGTAAGTTGATTTATAGGATCACTGAATGGACCCACACTGTAAAGGCTACCGACAACACTTGGTGTTGCAGCACTCGATTCAGCATGTTGACTGTTGTACCCGGCCGCCACAGGCTGGCGTTGGTGATGTGGGTTGTGTCTGTGATGTTGATGATGTGGCGGTTCCAAAACTCCAGCACTGTAGTCACCATGCTGAGTGGCATCGGAGCGACGAATGTTTGCACCCGGCCGAGAATCAACAAGTCGATCATAGCTTGATCCTCCAGTGACTAATGGTGTTGAAGACATAGTATCCTCGCTGCAGCTCTCACTGACTTGGTGAGGTATAGGCAAATCATCGCTCCTTATTACTGATGGTGTACTGTCACTCTCTGTAGATAGCAGTAAGCTTTCATCTTCATCTCCTACACGATACAAGTCATGTGTCTTGAGCTCTTCGCGAAATTTCCGACCAGGTCCAATTGCGTCAGGCGTTGCATGATTTTCTGGCTGTTGGGTGTTGGCAACAAGATTGCCTTCCGGTCCCCCGCTTCTTTCTCCAAACCTACGCTGCGCCAGTGGTGATGCTGCTGCACCAATAGGTGCTACTGATGGCCTGATCAAAGCTTGTGGATTTATGTCACTTTCATGCAAACCGCCTGCGGCTGCTGATCCTGTAGCAGCTGTGCTGGATTCAATGCTGGGGAAACATTCACCTGCAGTCATTCGGCTCAGCGCCTGAGCATGATCACTAGGTCGACTAGCAGGTATGGCTCCCATCCTTTGAACACCTATAGGGTGCCGGCTGTTGTTCAAACTGTCCGACAAGGCATCACCAAATGAGGCACTGGGCTTGTTGTTCAAAGACAGGGGTTGACAGTCATCATCTTGGGTAGCTTGCTGGGGCTGTTGTGGCCGTTTGTTCGGCTCCCTTGTATCGTCGTCAGCATCAATACCATCGTCAATAGACTTTGGCAAACGCGATCGGTGCTCATCACTCAAAGTCTGGGCGGCCAGCTGCTGTTGTTGCTGTTGGTGAGGTTGCTGTGGCATTTGCTGGTTGTCATGATGAGGATGTCCTTGTTGTTGAAAATGAGGTGATTGAGGCGGTTGCTGTGGCTGCTGCTGCAGCTGCTGCTTCTGCTGTGGCTGGACAAGGGCATGTTGTTGATGTGGTGGATTCGCATGCTGGTGCTGTTGCTGATACTGCGGGCCAGGTCGGTTTGGAGCATCAGCGGCTTCTTGAGGCACTGCATCGTCCGCAACTGGTTGGGCGGCCTGTCTAGGTTTCGGCATAGGTTGTGCTTGGCGCATTTGCTGGTGCTGATTCGGCTTTTGGGCTTGCGCCTGAGGCTGTTGCGGTTGATTATCATGCTGTCCGTGAGCTGCTTGCTGCTTTCCGGGTCTAGTTCGACTAGGCAAGACAAGATTACCATGTTCGTTGCGGTCTTCCACCGGTTTCGACACTGTGGTAGATTTCGCCTCCTCTTCTTCATCAAATGCATTGGGTCTGGCAGCACGTGGAACCTTTTGTTGCGACGCCTGTATGAGTCGAGCTAGGATCGAGTTCTTGGGCTTGTGACCGGCTGCAATTGCCTTGACTTCATCCACACAATCTAAAACTTCTTCCATGACTGGGCGCCGCTCCGGCTGCACTTGCAGACACAGGGACGCCAACCTGGCCAAGTCCTCTGCCACGCTACCAGCCCACGATATCTCATCTTTCATTCGGTGAGCATTGCGAACACCGCCAACCTTCTCTCGGGTGTACATTATCTGCAAATCACGAATCAAAACAGGATAATCGCAAACAGACAGTTGATATGAAAGCAGCAGCAGCAGCACCACCACCACCACCACCACAACCACCAGCACCACCACCACCAGCCATACCCAACACAAATACATGCATTGCCAATACACAGTACTCAAACGTGTCACCGACAACCCTTCCACCAGGGATACCAATTGCTGCGTTATTGCCAAAACCAATGTCAGGGCCTGTGTGGAAGGCTGTCATATTGACTTTTATCTTATGCGTCAAACGTCTCCACAAACATTTGTCGTGAATGCCCGCCTCCCCTCCCCCCCCCCCCCCCCCCCCTCCTATTTATCCTAAAATACTGAATATAGCAGTTTGAAGTGCACGAGAAATGGAGTAGCAAACTTGTGCTGATCAGGAACAATTCTCGACAGAGTTCCCATAGAAGCGGAGCTAGTGCGACTTGGTACATACGCACACACGCACACACATACACACACACACACAGACCACACACACGCACACACACACACACACACACACACACACACACACGTGCGCGCACGCCACTCTAACCTACCAGACTTGCTGCATTCTTTCTGCTATTGTCGTAGGATGACAAACTTGTGATGACTTCAGGATCACCTATCGGAGGTCAAAGCATAAGTGGAAAACGGTTTACTCAAAGATAATAATTTTTTAATGTCAATCAAATAATGCCAGGAAGTCAGCAATGAGATGTCTTTCTCTGGCAAACTCACGGAGTCGAATGATCTTGGAATGAGGAGGCTGCTGCGAGGCATCATCCATCAGATTTTCCAAACAAACTAATACTTGAAGAACGTTCCCGTGATGACATATTCAGATGTGTCTCCTGATACGTCAGTAGAGGGGAGGGTTATGCCACACTTTGCTAATCCCCTGCCTTACTGCCCAGTCTTTCCACGTTTACTCTATGCATGCCCACGTCACCATCTCAAATGTACTATATACAACTACTTGTAGCCAGTCCACACCTGCCGACGCCCACCCCCGCCCCTCTGCTACTATGGAGTAGATTTCAGTGTTTATTAGCATAACAAGCTATTCCCGATGAGTACAGCGCTGCTCAATGAAATCCAGTCGCATTATCCAAGTAGGAGCCGGGCGTTGCGCAGCCCTAGACCTGCGAACCGTGACTGGCCTGCGAAATGGTGTAAGGCGCAAACTTGAGGATGTGACTGGATTTCATTGAGCAACATTGCATGTTGTCTCCAGGGTACTGGTCACGAGTCACATGATGTTCTTGGTGCAAGCCTTGCACTGCAACATAGCAGCGTAGGGGATCCAGTTAAACGTACTCTGCATTCAAGGTGAGCACCTGCCTGCATTGTCTAGCACTAACATTATGTCATCACATCAATAATGAATAATGGTGCAGCGAGTGAAGTTCAAAATGGGAATATCTGACAATCATACACCGTAGCTTTTTTGGATCCATGTTATCTCCTCTGACATCTCGTATCAGGTCCTCAGTCAGAGCATGCCATACTGGCATCTATTTAGAACATAGGCAATTGTGCCAGTTTCAATACGTGACCCTGTGTATCACGGCATGTAAAAAATGATGTAACACCAGCCAGTTCCTACCACTGCCATTGCGGATAAGCTAGCTCTATTGACCTAAACCCGCTGTGGGGAGGGCCTGACAATATGAAAATCGCAACCGAATTGTTCTCACTATGGTGGTGATGTGCAAGTGAAGTTGTTCAGCCGAGAGAACACCGTGGAGATATAGGGTGAGTGGGATGACGAAATAGTCCAATTCAACGTGTCGCTAGTTTCTCCCCTCAAGACTTGATCATGCTGCTAAAAACTCACCACTCCAAATGCATAGACATCAATCTTGGGTGTGATCTGGCCATGAAGGTATTCGGGTGCAATGTATCCTGATGTGCCCATCACCTTGCTGGTCCTTCCACCACCATTGTCAATGTCCCTTGCTAAACCAAAGTCGCCAACCTTGGCGCAGAAGTGAGCGTCCAGTAGAACATTGGCACTGCATCATTTTAAATACACACATGCGCACCGATGCATTAACATAAACATTATTATGCACACACATGCACGGGGGCGAATCCAGGAGGGGTTCCAGGGGTTCCGAGGAACCCCCTAAACTTTGTCAATCTACTTCTGGATGCCATAATGCATGTGCATATAAATGTATCAGCTATTCAGTTTTGACTAAACTGGAACCCCCTCCCCCCCCCCCCCCCCCCCCCCCGTAGAGATCGCTGGATCCGCCGCTGGTGCATACCTCAGACGTGCCCATCGCGGAAGCGATGATAGCGAACAGCTATGTTAGACATAGCAACTTGAGCTGGGATTACACCATTCAACAGCTTGCAAGGCTGATGAATTGACCGCCACTAATTTTTAGCCTGGTATCCACCACACAGCTGATTGAAGTGGCTTTTTCTGGCCAGTGAATCCCTATTTTTCATTTTTCATATTTTTCGTACACACACACACGCACTCACACACACATACACACACACACACACACACACCACATCAACGCCTTCACAGAACACCCATACATAAACACACACACATTCAGCCGTGTATTCTGATTCCACCCTCTCTGTCTATATTTGACTCATTATCCAGAGTCATGTGTCACAAACTGCTGCTTGTCTCCCATAGCACTTTCCACAAGAATATTTCATATAGAATTCACCGCTCCTTGGTTTAAAACCTGCCCAGTCATCTGTTTTATTATTGTACTTCTATCCAGGTGGAAAGGAGCACTAAAACTTCACAAGCAGGACCTCCAGGTGACAAACACAAACAAAATATGCGCGTACGAGTAGATGCATGTTTGAAAGCAATGGGTGTCCTCACGTTTGAGTACAGTGTAGGGTGATAAAACGTACCATACAGTTCCATGATGTACCAGGACCGGCGGGAGAAGTGTTTGATTGGTCCAGCCCGGCATACCCTAGCCTTTTCATTCAGTTTGTGCATCATAGAGAGCCATTGGAGGTATACACATGAACTCCTCATCAGTAAACACACGTTGATGGCCAAAAGGTTGGCCCAGCCATTGCCTGACCAACCGGACCAGTTCCGCCAGGCCTGTTTACATCAATTGCTTTCGAACCTTCTTACCTTTTGACATCTCGATGCACCAGTGGCATATCAATGTGAGCTCGGTGCAGAAAGACCAGACCCCGCGCCGAGTCCAACATGATGTTCAAGCGATGCGTATAATCCAATATGGTCTTGCGAGTCTATAATGTTAGATGCAAAAATGATAGCATGGAAAAGCATAATGTATACAGGCTGAAGGATATGTACAAGTGCAGCATCACTGTGCTGGGAATGAGCGGCACTGTAATAGCAGACTGAGAGTGAAATCTTATAACTGCTGTGCATATGTCAACTGGGAAGAGAAAGCACCGTGACAATGATGAGTCTGACAATGATGAGTCTGACAATGATGAGTCTGACAATGATGAGTCTGACAATGATGAGTCTGACAATGATGAGTCTGACAATGATGAGTCTGACAATGATGAGTCTGACAATGATGAGTCTGACAATGATGAGTCTGACAATGATGAGTCTGACAATGATGAGTCTGACAATGATGAGTCTGACAATGATGAGTCTGACAATGATGAGTCTGACAATGATGAGTCTGACAATGATGAGTCTGACAATGATGAGTCTGACAATGATGAGTCTGACAATGATGAGTCTGACAATGATGAGTCTGACAATGATGAGTCTGACAATGATGAGTCTGACAATGATGAGTCTGACAATGATGAGTCTGACAATGATGAGTCTGACAATGATGAGTCTGACAATGATGAGTCTGACAATGATGAGTCTGACAATGATGAGTCTGACAATGATGAGTCTGACAATGATGAGTCTGACAATGATGAGTCTGACAATGATGAGTCTGACAATGATGAGTCTGACAATGATGAGTCTGACAATGATGAGTCTGACAATGATGAGTCTGACAATGATGAGTCTGACAATGATGAGTCTGACAATGATGAGTCTGACAATGATGAGTCTGACAATGATGAGTCTGCATGTGAAGGCTAAACTCATAGTCTGGCACAGTGCATTGCTAGAATCTTTGTGATGTCAATAATGAAACAACTAAGGACTGTCAAGTCTGTTAGTTACCTTGGGATCGAGCTGATCCTCCAAGCTGCCATTCGGCATGAATTCATACACTAAGCATTGCTGCTGGTGACGATGCACACCATTGCTATAGCCAAGCAGTGTCACCAAATTGGGATGCCGAAACCTACCAATCACACAAACACACAACCACACACACACACACACACACACACACACACACACACACACACACACACACACATAAGTGCACACGCACACGCACACACACACACACACACACACACACACACACACACACACACGCATAAAGCATACAGGTGTATTCGATAGCTTAGATGTGCCGGGGATTCCGGCGGTGTGTTTGGCAAGTTCACCCCAGCCCAGTCAAGCTCGCGATGGCCCATTCCACCTAACTTCTCTATTACATAAAATAACAAATCCCTACTCGAAAAAGCATAACAAGTGCAATTGCACATTGCATCACTTCCGGAACGATAAGAACATGTGGCAATCTGGAACACCAGTCCTCTGTGACCAGTGTACACTGGCACTGGGGATTAATAACCCCTTCATGTGTGGACATCAGCCATATCCCGAAAACAAGATATCAGTGATAAAGAACAAGTGTTTCGCAGATAGCAAACAAGAGGAAAAACTGTGCGGTAACCATTTTTTACCGCACAGTTTCTCCTCTTGTCAGTGATAAAGATTATCAATAAGTTATGGAAGCCAGGCCAGCACACTCATCCTTTACTGAGAGTCTAGTCATATGGTTAGATGAGTAGGCAGAAATATCTGTGTACTAGTATCTGGTGAACTAAGTAAAAACAAACAAACAAACAAACCAACACACTGACATAGTGTGTACATGTATAGCTGAGTACAAGCCTGAATGGCGACTCACCGAGTAAGAACTGCCACCTCTGTCTTGTACTGATCCTGTGCCATTCTCTCGTTGAAATCTGACTCATTCTGCACAAAACCAAAAACCCAGACAAAAACTTGAGAAACTATAGATGAACACCTACCATGGCTACATGTAGTTGGCAACAGCCTCTTCAAGTTAGCAATACAAATGATCAATATCTGAATAGTGGTTGGCTAAGTGCCTGAGCACATGCAGACGGAGAGGCTCAGACCAACAATGTTAGTGGAGCACATCACCACGGAAACAGCTGTGTCTATGCATGCAAGCGCATTGCAGTACCCATGCACCGGCATGCCACCCGGAGCTACGCATGCCGGCAAAGAGAAAGCTACAGTGCCCGATACCTAGCACCACCGGGGCAGCTCGGAAGAGTGCTCGGTGCATTAAGATGCAAAGCAGCGTACACGAATACAGAAACAG